AAGGCCGTGGCAAGAATGGTGGCAAGGGACGTGGGAAGCAGTCCAACAGCCCCAAAGTCCCACAGGCCAAGGCTGGTGCCATGAAGAAGCCAGCAGCAGCAAAGAAGGGCATGAAGCGACCTGCTGCTGCTGCACTTGCAGATCCTGATGCTNNAGCATGAAGGAGCTCGATGAATTCGAGAGTTTGGCTGTTGGATCATCCTCTGGGACACCTGCTGAGCTCCAAAGCCCAGATGCAGCCCCACAGACCCCAGATGCTGCCCCAATGTCCCGCAGTCCTGCAGTCCCACAGTCTGCTGACAAGAAGGAGTCTGCTGACAAGGAGGGTGCTGAGGGAGATGGGAGTGATGATGAGTCAGACCTGGACAGTCTTGACTCAGCAAAGCATCGTTCCTGGCCGAAGAAGAAAACCTTTGCCGGGCGCCGTCGTCCAGAAGGAAAGCGAAACACAAATGGCTTGGACACTTGGCTCACCAAGCGCAAATGCTTTTACACAATGGTGGCAAAAGCAGACTGGAGTGAGGCCAATGAGCGCCTTTGGTGGACTTGCTTCACTGACCAGAGAACTGCAGCTGGTGCGCGGGACTTCTTCGAGCAAGAGCTCGAGAAGAAGAGGATGTAGATTTGAGCAGTATCAGTGCCGCAGTCCTGCAGTCTTGGTGCTATGCAGTTTTGTAGCAGTGTACTGTGCTGTGCATTTCTCTCAATCCTGGTGAAGTGTCATGTCAGCATTTTTGTGTATGGCAGTGCAATGTTGTCTGTTCATGTGTGTCATTGGCATGAAGTTGCTGAGCACACAGATCATGGGGAATCTGTGTTTGCTTCTCAGTCTGACAGTCACGTGCAGTCCAGAGACTGTGACTGTCATGTGTCTGAGAGGCTTAGGTACAGAACCTGAAATTTATTCGGACTGGAAGTCCATTATTGGCAGTGCTGCCTGAACCTTGTGCACTGGCTGTTGGGTAGCAACAGTTGGTATGCAGGGGGCCAGAATAATACCTCGTTGTACTTGAATGTCTCAGTGTACTTCAAAAAGTAGTATCTGTGGTTTGGGTCTGTGAAAGTTGCTGCAGAAATTTCAGGCGGTTGCTTCAACGAGGTTTTATGGCCAAGCACAATGTGTCACACTGGGGTGAAGAGAGAATGAGTGGTGTACTCTGTATGGAAAGATCAATGCCCAACTGTGCTCTGCCATTTCTTGTCGTCAGAGTTAGTGAAGCTACCGGTTTCATGTGTGCAGAGCTTTGTCATGCTGGAAGCTGAAAGAAATGCAGAGCTTTTGCTCAAACAGTTCTGCAGTCCTACAGTCCTGCAGTCTAGTGCTTGGCTACTGCAGGACATGGCTGAGGAAACCTCTGCACATGGTGCTCTCCATGTGCTCTTTCAGCAGACAATGACCCTCTTGAAGGATGAGATTGACCACAAAGGTCCTGATGGCCGTGCTCGATACACTGATGTTTGTGAATGGCTGTCCAGTAAGATTGCAACTCCAGAGCAGCGAGGTGTGCATGGGCAGGCCCTTCGAGGCCTCTTCCTGGATTGCTCGTCAGCCCTGGGATTCTCTCAGACAACAGAACACCAGGAGTTCTACCCTGACATTGCAGACTACAAGACTGGAAGCGGTCCATCTGCCACCCCAACAAGGTTTAAGCTGCGACTGTGGCAGCTGGGTGTTGCTGAGGTTTCCCATGTGAAGGGTGCACCGCCTCTGCATGGTATCAGAGACTGCATGCAGAAATTCTTGGTGACTTCAGGAGCAGAGACAGACAAGTACCCTTTGGAGGTGCTTTTGCACTGGCCACAGGTGGACAGCAGGTCTCACAGGCTCACAGTCCCACAGTCCTGATGCAACCAACAGTCTGATTCCAAGTAGGGGTTCCATTGATGACTTCACAATTGCCTTGAGTATTGGGTCCTCTGTCTCTATGGCCTGCCAGCTTCTCTGCTGGGCAGCCATCAAGCTTGACTGGATGGGCAGTGGCAATCTGTTGGCAGACAATGTGAATAAGGATCTTGCAGAGCGTCTTCTGAAGTGTTTGTGTTTCCAGTCTCCATGCAGCAGGTATTTTTGCATCAGGATCATAAGTTTTANNTTACTTTAAAGTGACTGTCTTGATATTTGTTTGTGGTCTGTACTTCAGAGCTGAAGGTCTCTTTGGCATCTGCAACCCGAAGAACACAGTCGAAGCACAGTCCCTGGACAGTCTCAGAATCAAGACAGATGCTAGTTCCAGATCCAGGCCGTCAATTTGCAACATGCACTTTCTGTTGGGATCTCAGTTTGAAAGCAGCAGTTTGGATGTGCAGTTGTTTGCAGGCTCTCAGGCTCTCAGTCCTGTTGTTGTTTTTTTTCAGGTTCGACCGCATTGTGACACAGAAGCAGAACCTTGGCTCCAGAAAGACACGGCACGACCTGCTGCAGGAGGCCATCTCGAAGCACAACAGGCAAGCAGTGGGGAAGGCCAGGGTGAACCCGGATGAGATTTCGGCCCTGTATGTGTTCGACCAGGCGCCACAGTCTGTACGCCGACTGCTCAAGGTGATTTGGGGGACAGAGGCCCCCCAGTACACAGCCATCACTCTGGGCTGCATTGCAATGCCTCATTTCAATCCAGGCAAGCCACAGTTGGGGCTTCTTCGAGTCCAGCGGGAAGCCAACCCATTGTGGTATGAGATTTGCAGGCATTCATGGGCCAAGGTGGAGGAGACATTTGTCAGGATGCAGGCCAAGTGGGACATGAAGATCAAGGAGTACTTGGACCGAAATCAGGCTCCACCCATTCACCAGCAAGGTGTCTGCAG